AAGCAGAAATGAGTTCAGGGGACAGAAGAATCCATCTCAAAGCTCATTGAAATTTTCTAAATGAATAAGTGTAGTAGTACTGAATCCAGTCAAGGTTTCAAAGGTGAGGTCACTGGAAGAAACTGCCTTATTCTAGTTCACTGTCTCAAACAAGTGTCTGTATCAAAATTAGTAACATTTTTATTTTTTGGAGCATTGTCACATCTAAAACAAAGTTAAGATTTAAAACTGCATTTCACCATTCACGTAATTGAAAAATAAACTCTTAGTTTGTTATATAGATCCACTATATGTTCCTGAGGATATGTGCATGCTTTACACAATTTCTACTAGTCTTTCTTATAAATCATCCCTTCATTCCCATCTTATTAAAAGGGTATAAGGTAAATGGGACAATGCTTTTGAAAATAGATTAGTGTTTGAAGTTTAAAAAAATCTCCAGATAACATAATCATTTATGTAGTTCTGAATAATTATTAACTTATAATTTTCCTTTATTCTTTAATTCTCACTTTTTTTCCTTCCTAGATATGTTGTTTCTTTTATTATAAAAGGAAACTGAGAACAATAATATCTTAGTAAATGAAGTCAAAATCAGGAAGTATCTAAGGCTGAAATATATTCCTTTTGAAAACGGATGAATAAATAAATAAGCAAGTGAATATATTGCATGCTAGTATTTCTGTACTTTTGATTACTCTTCAGCACAAAAGAAAACCAAAATAGTCTCAAAAATTTCCCAGCAGAAAATGTAGCAAATCCCCACTTGGTACAATTATAAAAGCTAACTGTAATACATGCTGGCCATGTATATTTTAAAACCATACAGAAAAGACTGCAGTCTTATATAATTTTTCAGTGATTTCCCATGCAATTTGTCTTAGTTCCAAAATTCTATTGATAATAGAACCAGTATAAGATATATGCTTCCACAATTTGTGTCTTCATGCTAATTTTTTAATAACACATTTTTTTGGTTTTAAAAAGGTTTCTAATGTTAAAATATTACTAAATATTAAAACATGCCAAACGAAATACAAAATAAAACATTAAGTTTTTTGCATTTCCAAGCAGAAACTAAATATAACAGATAACTATAGTTTAAATTAATAATTTGTTAAATTAATTGTCAAATTAATGTTGGCAATAGATAAATTCACATTACATAAAGTGGAAAGATACTATTGCATCGCAATGCAATACAGTTTTAAAACTGTTCAAAAATGTTTACCTTTTCTACAAAAATAAATGCTAATTGATATTAAATAAATTAGAAAGCAAGTAATTTAAAAATCTATATTTAAAATGTCTCTATTTTAATTTTCATATTTCCCTATTTTATTCTCAACCTATTTCTTAATTTTTACAAGAATTAGTATAATATTTTTCCATTTGATAAATTCTAGCTACCTCAATAATGGTGAAGATTTTATATATATATAATGAACATACTCCAAAAATGATCATATTCTTGACCATAAATCAAGCATAAACAAATTCTAAAAGATTGAAACAATATCATGCATCTTCTCAGATAACAGTGGAGTAGATATATATGGAATTGAAAGATATATATAAATATATATGCTAAATATAGATATAGATATATATATAGAGAGAGAGAGAAAGAGCAAGGGCGCCAGGGATAAGCTGAATAAGACTCAGGGAAGCTTCTTTGATTATTTTATTCTAATGGTAGCATTGCTAAAAGGGAGAGAATGTAAGGTACAAAACTTCAAAACAGCATTTGTGGATGAATAGAATCTGAAGAGAACTTGGAAATTCAAAATTGTACTAATTAATACCTCATAAAATTATAGAATATTGAATATAAAATAAAACACTAATAGAATTTTTTAGGTACCTTCCTGAGGATTTTTATCTCAGGAAATTTTGATTAGATTTTTCTTAATTAAAAGTTGTTTATTTTGAGTAACTAATATTGGCAGTATACTTTCAGTGAAATTAGTCATTCATTACATGATTTAAAATAGACTAATATCAGTGAAAAAAATGATATGTATGGAACTCTTGCTTTTACTGGGTAATTTATTTACAGACTGTCAGTAAAACCTCTCAACCAACCCCAGATCTAAGTATTCTAATTTCTATTTTACTCACATAAAAACTTGAGGATTCAAATGAGAGTTAAGTGACTTCCATTACGTACCATAGTGAACTCAGAAATAAGATTATCATCCAGGTCTGTTTTATTCCGAAACTGTTGAATAATACCCTGTGCTATAGCTTGTTCTGCAGTAAAGGATCTTACTCAGGTATTTCACAGGTTATTTCCCAAGGCAGTTGGAATGAATGTGAGAGAGAAAAAAAACCGGAAACTAGAGTGATAGAGAAACTATCATAGAAGTTAACAGGAGGTGGTTCCAGAAGTCTCACAAGTGAACACACTTGGGCTTGATAACAAACTCTAACTGGTGAAATAAAATCAGGATTATAATGTAAGTACTTGTTTTTCGGTCTATTAACCTAGGCTAGATGGTAGGCCTATTATGAGGGACAGAGGCCAAGAGAATTATGATTAGTCTTCTCTCTCCAGTGCCTAATGCAGGGATTGGCTATAACAAGGCAGTCAATGAATTTTCATGGAATGAACAAAACTAAGCAAAGAGATAAAGGTCATTGTGTGGAGAAAAGTTTGATGGCAAACAGTCACAGAAAGGATTTCCTTTCATTTCAGAAGTCACAAGCCACTAAAAGCTGAAAAATAAATCCTAAGGAACTTTAACACCATGCTAGCCAAAAGATTTCAGTCCGTTAAAGAGCCAGGAAGACCATGAATGTAAACTATGAATAAAGGAATGAACAGTAGCTCAATCTTTCTAAAGAGGCCATGATTAAAAGGAGAAAAGAACCAGTAAAAAGAAGAGGAGGCAAATGATCTAATCATGTTTTGAAATTTTCTGTTAAAAAGTGATGGTTCTAAAAGAAATTATCTGCTTTCAGGTAGATAAAACTTATCAATCACCATTTACTTAAACGAAGATGCACCTTTAACAAAATAATTAAAATATAATTCTTAGTTCTAAATCTATGGGGGGGTTGTAAAAAAAGTTCAACCCTATGGTCACAACCACGTGAGAGTGTCACATTACTGCCGACTAGTGGTCACCTGCCTGAAATTCAGAGGCAGATTTTGGAAATGAATAAACATTAGAAAACAGAATCTGTAAAACTAAAACTAGAGCAGAAAGCGTTGTTGTATAGTTCTTGTATAGGCTTTAATATAAACATGTTGAATGAGTTAATTACACAGGCGCTCAAACAGCTTATTTTCATTTAATATGATTTAGTGAGCTTACTTGTACTCAGAAATCACGCCATAAAACAATGATCCTGATTGCTTTGTTTTAAAGATAATTATTTCATAACTAGCTTCATTTTAGAATGAAGTTTCAATATCAAGTGCATTTCTTGGAAATACTATATATGTGTTTATATATATACATATACTTTCACATACAGACATTAATTGTAATAATGTTTCTTTCAAAGGTTAAAATAGATCTTAATAATTTTTTGGTAGTATTATAAAAATACAAAAAGAAAATATAAAACATAGTACTACACTTATTATTTAACTGGGTATGCAAAGACAACAATGACGGAGGCACTCCTGTTTCCCACATACATATTAGCACACTTTGCTGGAAAGTCTACTTTTTAAAAATGAAGTAGGCTTCATATCCCGATATAGGCAGACTGCTAGTCCTGATATAACTGTTTCATTATTAAAAAGCTCAGTTAGATGCACCTAATATGGGAATTTTGATGAAAAGGAGAAAGCACAGTAATGCTGCATTCTTCTTCGGATTAGATATTTTTGGATAGAATGATACAGTTTGGGGTTCTTGGGTAACTAAGTGGGAGTATTCAACAAATATCTGGAGTTGAGAACAGGATATAAGCAAATAAGTAAGAAAAAAGATGGACAGTGACAAAGGATAAAATTTACTCCCTACTTTCAATACTGTTTATGAATTATTCTTTCTTTACAGCAATGTTTATCTCTGAAATAAGTCATTTTCTTTGAGCTCTCTCAAAAACTTCTTGTAGAGGATATAATCTTTAAAAAAACACTGAATTTGCATTTCAGTAATTAAAGTTCAACAAACATTTGTCTTATTAAAAGAAATGACCACTTCCATCCAGTAATGTACTGGGTTTCCAGTGCTAGATTCAGTTTTCATTATGTAGACCTTGATCTCTTAGTGTACCATTATCATGATCTACAGAGGTTAACATATATAGCAAATACATAGGAAAAAATAAAAGTAAATGTGTTTTATATAACTCAAGCAAAAAAAAAAAAATCAAGAAACAACAAAGTGAGAAAAATGTTTTCTGTAACCCAAAAGAATACCAAATACTAAATACATTTGATTTGGGGGAAGGGAGGTCAAATGAGAAATCTGTTTACCTACATATGATGGAAGCACATGTCGAGTCTTCAAATCTGTTTAGATGTCAGTTAAAGCATGTTTTTGGTGAGATCTAGTTGCCAAAATACATTGTATTCTAGGACTTTATGGTCAAGCACAATATAAGAAACAAGCTCCTAAGATAAGCACTCCTCTTTTTATATTTCAAAACTATGTAGACCATAGCTATAATAGTTACTAAAGAAAATTGCAATGTTTAGATTTCATTTATTCTGTTTAACTCATTTTTTTCTTTTAATGTTATCCCTTTACTTAAGAAATTTGTATTTTCTTGTTGTTTCTTCACACCAATTTCCAGTTTTGAATGATCAGAGAACGTATTATATTGTATTATACTACATTATATTACATCATGTTAGCAAAACATAATCAAAGGCTTGTAATTTAGTAGATTTATAGCACAGAAAATTTAAAGATATTCCAATTTAAAATAAGCTTCTTAAAGTATACCTGAAATTAAAAATAGATTAACGTGATATCTTAAAACATCTCCATAAATAAGAAAACATATGGGGTATGCAAATAATTGGCAACACCAAATTTTAGAGTGGATCATAGCTTTTACTATGCTAGAAGAAACTCAAATAACAATATAACAAAACAAAACTCCATGTTATCTTTTGGTATTTATCATTTTAACTGTTAAACATTCACATTTCCATTAACTGTCTGAAATTAGCAAAATACTTTTTTTTTTTTGCTTTCCAAATCCTGGATTATTCTGGGGAAATAGGCAATCCAACACTTATGACCATTGGTCCTCAGAAAAATGATCTGGGAGAAAGAGTAAGTTGATGTTATTTTAAAAGTAATTTGGCATACACAGTAAATCTGGGGACACATTAAGAAAGTCGAGGCAGATTTCCTATTGAGGAAAAAGTCAAGTTAAATTATTGACAGAAAAAAAGGCTTCTGTTTAAATGCTAATGTGTAAAGGAACCCTATTCTACAAGGAACTTGCTTGAATTCTTAGAAGTATACCAACTTCAGAGTTGGCTAATAACAAGAATTATTTAAGCAAACTAGAAATTGTTCTTGTAAACATTCTAGTTTTGGATCTCCCCGGAGGAATAAAATAAAGAGAATCTTCCGTTAGCTCTCGCATCCTTTGGGGAAGAATATCCTGGCCTCTTCCTCAAGGTCTTGCCACTTTCTAGTGACAATCACACAAAACAAAGCTTGCTTCTTCCTCTCTCTTTGCACACTCTAATCAGCTTGTGTAGGAGGGAAAAGAACAAATACCCTACCTGGAGAATGAAAGGTATCTGGCTTTGGGAGAGATTGTTGGGGTGAAATGGGGACAGTAGTGGAAAGCACTTTCAAATATAATGCATAATACACAGGAAGGCAAAAGTAAACCGAAAGAGGGTGCTTGAGCCTGGTAGGATTTGCAACCTGCAAGCAGACTGAAAAGTTAAGCAACAATACCGCCCACGTTAAGGAAAGGTTGATTCTGTCTTTCTCAAGCAGACACCCTCCTCCTCCCAGCTTTTCTTTAAAAACATGCCGGGATGATATCTGAACCTCGTTCCGTTCCCAACCTTGACTTCTTGACTTCTTACAGCTGGCTTAAGTGAGTCTCCTCCCTGCCTCAGTCCGGGCACTACAAAAAAAAAGAAGAAAAGTTATTCAGCCTAGCGATGCAAGGTCTTTGGACGTCTCATTCATTCTCTCTGCATACACTGTGGTCCCCAGAGGGAACTGCAAATCCTTATCTCCTAGACTCTTAGCGGTTCCTATCACCTCAGCAGGAAAGGGTGGCAAATGGGACAATCCTGAAGGAAAAAGGAGTCACCCCCGCGTCCTAAAGTACTTGGAAGTGCTCGCTCGGATCTGCCTGTAGTCCGGGCTGGTGCAACTCCACGGCCCTCCAGTGAAGTCCCAGAAGCGACCAAGTTGAAAGTGAAACGAGGATGGAAGCGCTTTTTCTCCCGGGGCGTCTGAGAGTTTGCGGCCTCCGTGCGCGGCGGGCTCTGTCCGTGGACTTCTCGGAAACATCCATTTTCCACTTCGGGGAACAGAAAGCTTCAGGGGAAGCAATGAGGGTTTTAGTGGAGACTCTCCTGGACTTCCGTGGTGTCCGCCGGGATATTTGTCCGCGGCGTCCCTTTGCTTTTTCTGCGTGGAGTCTTGCTATGCGGCGTGTGACCCTCCAGGTCTCGAACTCGGATGCGGCGCCCCCTGGACTCCCACGGAGACCCCCAGAGCCCCGGGCTTGGCGCCGCTTCCCGACCCAGAGGGAGACTGAGCGACGGGAGTGACCTGCAGCCCCGCAGCCGCGCTCCTCCGCGCGAGAAAGCGGCCAGGCGGCGTGCGCGGATTGGACCGGGAGCCCGGGGGGCGGAGCGGGGGAGCCGAGGCAGCCTGGAGACGCGAGCAGTCTCCGCCGAAAGCACTTCGCTCCACGGGTTCTTCCCCGACAGAGGCGGCTGTGTGGGTCTTCCTTCCCCGTGGCAGCACGTGTGCGCGCTTGGGGTGAGCCCGCGGGTGTGCTCGGGTACACGCGCTCGTGTGCACCCGCAGGGCTATGACAGCCTGGCAGAGCGCTCTTGGAGGCCAAAGAGTGCGCCGTATCCAAGGAGGCCACCGGCACGAGCCTTCGCCAAGTAGGCCAGGGAGAGGCCCCGGTGCGCCCGCCTTCCCTTTGCAATCCCCTACTTTTCCATTCCCTTTGGGTACAGACTGGTGTCTGGGCCAGCGAGGATCCGAGAGGAGAGGTGCGCGCAGAGGCCGAAGACCACGTGCTGGTGAACCCGCAAAAGCCAGCGAAGGAGCCTCAGGGCTCTAGCTCAAAGGGACAGCACGATTTCACTCGGGGCTTCCTACAAGAAAGTGTTTTCTTTACTTATTGGATTTTCCAGGCTGGAGGAGAGGGGATAAGTCGGGAGACGGAGGCTGAGAAGCTTGGCAAAGTCAGGAACAAGACCAGGCGGGGGCCCCGGGCCGGTCCCTCCCCACAGGGCCCTACTTAGCCTTCTTTTTCAGTCGCACTCTTTCCTGCTTCAGACCTGCCTCTGTGCCTGTGTCCTTAGAGGCCAGGTCCGGCTTGTGACGACATTTGGGCTCTGCCCTTGACATACTAAAATGTGACCAACTGCAGCCCTCGTCACGTCTGATGCTGGGCTGAGTTGATTCCCAAATATTCATGCTCTTTTTAGAATCCGCTCCCATCTGATGAGTAAGCAAATCACCACCCACAACGAAGGGGACCCTGGAAGCCAGCCTCAGGTGAATGAGATCCCCAGTCTGTACCTCTCAGATGCTTCCGGGTGGTTATATAGCTAATGACTTTTCCCACGGCCCTGGGCATCCTCCGCTTCACCCGGTGACACTTCTCAGTCCCTTCACCGAGAGGCAGCGGACAATCAGCAAATTCTCCTTTCGCAGGAAGCTGTGGGCGCCCCTGGAAGTTCTTCTTTATCCTCCAGGATCCCTGCCCTTCCCCCTCCCCCCTGCCTGCAACGCCCCCGCGCCGGCTCAGCCGGGGGATTTCCCCGCGCCTAACTAGCCCACTTCCCGCGCCCGAGGTACGCCGGTTCCGAACACGCCTGGCTGGGAGGCGCGAGGGCCAAGAGCTGCTAGGAGGCCCCGGACAGGGTCTCGCCTGACTCTCGGGGTCTGGGCGGCGCGGCCGCTCCCGTCACTGCGGCGCGGG